CAAGTGCTGCTGAGGATCTTCGACTTGCGACCCCGAAAATAGTCCCTTGTTCTGCAACAAGTGTAGCATGTTATTCGTAATTTGGAATGACTCAGCCTGTATCTACGGAACTACAATGGTTGTGGACAAATTTTCAGCTATGGGTTGTGCCCAGTCATAGAGAGCAGCCTCTGGCACTATTGGTACCGCTGGGTTTTCCTCATGATCCCCCATGACTGTTTCGAATTGTGCAGTTGTTGGTTGTTGTTTGTTTTTCCGATTAGCCCGATTCAAGGCCTTGAAAACTTTCTCGGGATCTGATAATGCTTCAAATACTTCACCAGATCTCGATGAGTTTCTAGGCATGCACTTCTTTCAATTGTAATTGATAACACCATTAATTCCCTGGCAACGACACCAAAATTTGATCACGCCCAACTATGCCTTATAAAAGGACAATGCGGACGTTGCAAATATAACCTGAGTATTTATGCCCAGAGTCGAATCCACAGAGAATTAACCTATCAATTACTTTCGTTGGACTTACTAAATTCTTTAGAATCAACTTTCCCAAACGTTGTGAATAACAGTTGATGTATATTTAATAACTAAGATTGAAAGTCAATAAACAGTTGTAAACTAAATATGCTTAAGTTGTGAACAATAATGAGAAGGTTCTAAGGTAGTGATTTTCCCTATTGATGGAATCTCTTCTGTTTATGTTTCATATAGATTTACCAATACATCTCTATCAACCATGAACACTCTTTTTACTGTGAATCTCTCCCGAGTAATCATGATAATTTACTAGACGCACTCTCCCGAGATACGCTAGCTGGCTTTGTTTATTACAGCTCACTTTAGATTGCACTCAAGACTTCGTTATCCCTAATCCCACCTTTAAACCCGCAGTTATAGATCCCTCTTATACTTTGGGACTGGTGTTGTTCAACAATCACCTAAATATGCACTCTCTCTCGAGTTATGCATACTAAATAGGCACAGCTAATTGAGGATCCTGTCAATTAACTACAACAAACACGTAGTTGAACAAATAGAGATTAAACTGGCAAACTATATTAACATAATCAAGAAGTTCATCCTTCAATAGGTTCCATCAAAACCCTAGACAAAAGATTTAGCTACTCATGACAATGAGTAAATAAACTCTGAAAATATTCATGATCAAAATTGCAAGAAAAATAAAGAGAAGAAGAAAATATGATGTTTTGGGTGATCTCTCACACTTGTTTCTTTTGCCAAAGTACTTTCTAAAACATTACATGCCTCCCTTGGACGAGTTCTATTGTTTAATATAGGGTTTTGGGCTAAAAATCCCGTGTTTTGCACTTCAGTCCCTCAATTTTTTTCGCTTCCTATCGCGGTCCTACCGCGGTTGCGCCAGGACCGCGGTCAACTAGCCTCTCAGAATCCGCAACAGCCTTCTGCCGCGGTCAGACCGCGGTTACGCTGGGACCGCGGCAGTCCATCTCCAGTTCTGGTTTTGCTGCCTTCGCGTGGTGCACTTAGCGGATATTGTAAGATTGGCCTCTTTTTCTCCGTAATTGATCCCAAAAGTACTCCATAGACTTCTTTTATTGTATATAGCCTGCAAAGCATGAAAAGCACTAATCAGAGCATTTTGTTATCACTTTTTACCATAAAAACTATACAAGAAGGTGGTTCTTTAGGGCCTAATTATAGTCCAATTCACCTATTATCAGGAACGGATTGTAGCAAAGGCGAAGTCAGGTTTTAAATTTTATGGATTTAGGATTCTAATCATTTTAAGTTACTGGAATAATTCATTTTAAGACAAAAATAAGGTTCGAATCAAAGTTACTGGATTCGGCCGAACCCGCTCCCGGCGCTCTAGCTATCTCCTTGGATGGTAGCACAATAAGTTGCTTTCAATTCACTAGTTGAGTCATTAGTATATACTTTTCTTTTATCTGGCATTTTTTAGCATACCCTATTTTGGATGAAAAACAGATATTTAATTTGAACCGAGGAAAAATGTAAGCTTTCAAATTTTGACCTGGCTAAGATTTATGTAGAACACCTTGTCTTATCGATATCGGGATAATTTGAGATGATTGCCTTCCCAAACATTTGGCATTTAGCAGCAAATTGGAGGACCATGTCTTGGTAATTTTTTTGATAGGTCACTATGTCTTGGTAATATGTTAACTGCAATTTTTGTTAATTCCCAGGATAGCATATGCCTAAGTGTCGATGTTGTAGTACTGGTATTATTGCAATATTCTAAAGTGCCCATTAGTGAGTTAAACTAGTTGGAAATGTAAAGTTTCCTTGCTGGAAAGGGTAAGAGGATTCTTATATGTACAAACTGTATTGAGGTAGATAGCCACTGGCATACTTCTCCGCGCAAACTCATCTTTGGAATGTTCATTATCATAATAAGTAGTCGATTAGGAGAACAACTATATCACTATAGAGTATACTCTTCCTCATCTTTCATTCATATTTTGCGTCCTAGGACTTAGATATTCTAGATACCCCCTTATGTTGCTTTTTGTGTGTCAGGTTTACAGCATTCTCTGAGTTGTTACCTCTTCTGGCTGTGGGCACCATTCCTTTGTTGAAGGTTGAAAATATTAGCCAAGCGATTAGTACAAGCAACCTTACCATAGAGAACTCAACTACATTATCAAGCCCTTTTGCCACCTCTTCTTTCAGTGCAAATGCTGCCTTTGAAGTTCGAAGTCCGTCAAGAATACAGGTAACCTTTTGGACTGCAATGGACTGCCATTGTAGTATCTTATGCGAAGAGAGAAAAGGAGCAAGTCGCTTACTACAGACAATGAGAATAATTGCTGTGGTGATGTGACTCTTTGGCAAACAAAAGCATAGATCATCTTGATAAACTTCCATATTCTTGTAGACTATTTCCAGCTTGTGCCATTATTGACTATAATAGTCTCTCTATTTCAGGTTGAATTCAAAGAAGGGACAGTTAATCCTCCAGAGGTTAAGTCAAAAATAGACCTGCCGGAGAACGTTGATATCTTTGGCCAAACCATAAGTTTGTCACCTATACAGCAATCTCTAGGTCCTCTGGAAAATGTTGTGGCAGGTATAGCCCGAGCTATTTCTGGTCTGCCTCCTCTCAAGATTCCGATTCCAGGTGAGAGGACGAAGTCTTGGCTTATTACGACATACCTTGACAAGGATCTTCGGATCTCAAGAGGAGATGGTGGGCTATTTGTTCTTGTTAAGGAAGAGAGTTCTCTTATAGACCAGTAGCAAGGCTCGATCTCACTCTGCCTTCCCTCCCCTCACCCCATTTGTGGGATTACACTGGGTTTTTTGTTGTTGTATACTGTATAATGATATATAAAGGTCTTAGGAGCTTCATTTATACAATATAGTATATACGACACATTATTTGTAAAGGGAGATACATCCCACATTTTTATGTATAAGATGCCATTTGTGTAGCCTTTACTCACAGTGGAAGGAACCAAAAACTGGAAATGAACAACATTTGCATCTAATATGATGTTATTTTGAAGTTCTGGTGGTATTTAGATCCAGCCGTTTGTAAAACTGATGTCACTCTTCTCTTGAGGTCAAATTTTTTGTTTAATTGGAAAATTATATTAAGAACTATTGCATCTAATGCTGGGCTCTCAGATGGAGACGTGTCATTCAAGCATTCATTTTCTTATCCATAATGCCACTATAATTGTTACTTTCTATGAGGCAACTATAATTCCAATGAGCACTGTAACTAAAGTAACATTTGATCTAGGATATTTGATGTATATGCCATTTCGAAGTGATCTATTAATCTACTAATAAGTCGGTTCACGGCAATTTTGTCTATCGCTTTATTGTGAAAGACCATATTGGCTTGTTCTACCAGAAGTACCTCCATATGCCACGGAGTGATATTCAACAATGGGTTTGAGTTGGTGATTGTAAAACTTTCTTTTATCGATCTTGATTCGTGTATATATTCCAAAACTATGGATCTAGCTGAACCAGAGAGCCCCGAAGTCTCACGGGTATCATAGAATTACGTTAGGTACCATATGAATAAGCCCAAGCTTGCACGTACTTGTGGAGTTGAGTCTAATGGATTCAAATGTTTGGGTTAATTTAAGAATCAAATTGCTGATAATAAACTGCTGACCAAATTTCACAAACTATAAGTGGCAACTTTCTTGTGGTAACTGTTGATAATCCAACACATTAGTCATCCACCAGAAAGTTTTCTCACACTCCAGCAGCAAACAACAAGAGAATAATCGACCATGTCTTGTTTAGTGTCTGTATAACTAAAAATCATAGCTAGAGGTTCCAAATCATAGTTAATACAAGAATAGAGAGACACATCTATGTGAAGGCTGTTCAAAGTTGAGAAGAGTTAAAAATAGAAGAGATTATTGGTTATCATGAAATTAGTAGAGAGCAAAAATGGATTTGACATGGTCATATCATGCCTTCTTCTTCTTGGATTTGAGCATAACATATCCAATAAACACGCTCAATAAGCAGATGAGTGCTACTCCAGCATATACAGGAATGAGAATCGCGTATTCTTGTGGTAGAAAATACTTGTGCACGAAATGATCCCTATCAACTAAAGGCTGAAACAGGAATAAAAAGCATATATCAGTTTCCTCACTTAATAAAACATGGGTCTAAAAAAACTGAACATATCTGGAAGGAAGAGTATATCAGCTTTACCAGAATGATAACCCAAAAGGTATAATATGTGAAAATGGACAAACTCGTCAATGTCAAAAGCAGCCCAACAGCTCTGTCCGCTAATTCCATTGAGGCTCTTCTACTTGTGCTGCCTGTAAAAGAAGAATGCTTTTAGTTAAAAACTTATACAACTAAAAAGAAGAGGGTTCAAACAAAATATCTGGTGGATTAGCCTATTAAAAGGTTCAAGGGACTAAAAGTAAGAGAGAAAACCAAAAAACGACTGGGTGGAACACAGTCTGGAACAATGTCATATAGATGACCAAAAAGTGCTCTATATTATAAGCCGACACATAAGACATTCTCTCTCTGACATAGTTTTAATAAAATAGTAACTGTAACTTGAAGTATCACTGTAATTGAGTCATTTTAGAAAAGCATAAAGTTTCACTTCAACATGTGTTGAGCTTATCCCATGTCTTCAAAACATGTGACCGATAACTTAGTGAAATGCCTTGTGAATGAACGCATCACATTCAATATCTACCCAATCATTCGTCAACCGTAGTATGTCTTAGACAAGCAAAACATGCATTCGCTCAATGCACTCCTGTTTATTAGCACTATCCTGATCTCAGAATGACAAAATTTCACCTGGTAAAGATGTCTAATGATGGTTTTAAACTACAACTAACAGCGCCCAGAAAGATAAAGGTAAACAAACAAATCAGCTGATACCATAACATTATGTTTTTGCCAATGAAAATGATTAGTAAAACAAAATAAGTACCGGTGTCTTTAAAGATTCTAATTGAGCGATCGAATATTGACTAGATTCAGCATACCACACAGGACAAATCGATCTGGTAGACCATAACATTCCAGATTCCAACTATAAATACAGAGTGAAACCTTCGTCTAAAATAAGATCGTCACATATTTAAGAGTGGGACATGTATTAGATATAGTAATTGCATACACGAAACAATTTTTTCGAGATGCAGGGTACAAAAAATCAGCACAATAAGGAACAAGGTTCAGTTACTTCAGTATTTATCTCCCTGCATTAAAAGAAATGGTGCCCTAATTGTAAGGCTGCGATCTCATAATTCTGGAAAATGTTAGATGTTAATAGCCTCATATTAGAAGGAAAAATCAGGGAACAACAACAACAACAACAACAACAACAACAACAACAACAACAACAACAACAACAACCACAACCACAACCACAACCACAACCCAGTATAAATCAGGGAAGGAGCCCACAAAATGTTAGATGTTGGTAGAGATTCCTGAATGAAAAAACTTTATAATTGACTTCAAAAATTTCAGGTGATGAATCACAAGATAATGTCATATTAAAGGGGAGCAACACTGACCAGATATTAGGCCCTAATTTCACCAAAAAAAACTCGTTTGTTAAGTAAAGATACAATATTACAAAATTAACACGAGTTTGCCCATTCAAGTTCAATCTATATCTCAAATGTAGTAAAACTGACCCTTAGCAGTCCTATCATCAATGAGAACTTAATAGAAAAGCTTAAGTTAGTCAAGTTGGAGAAAAAAGAAAAGTACTTTCCTAAGAACCAAATTACTGCTCCAGCCAAACGGCACCTACACTGTAATTTCCAAGTAACTCACAAGTTCCTGAATCTTAAACTCCCTAATTATTAAGTGAAATTACTCAGCTGAAAGGGGTAGCAAACTAAACTTTAAGGGTGAAAAACTTGACCATTTGGAAAGCAACAACTTAGACCAGTTAAAGCTGAGGTGAAGTGAATCTAATCTTTGGAACATGCCTACCACAGTCGAGGCGCCTCTCCACACTGATCAATACATATTGATGGTTTAACAACACTAAGTATCAGACGATAAACACCAATTCTTAAATGGCCAACATAGTCTCGTCCGCTCAAAGAGTATAAGACATCCTTCAGATGAGTACACAAAGCCTATCCCGATAAGACTTCCACTTTACCATCCATGTCAGCATAACATTTACCAATCTTCGGTTGAGCTACCTATATGGTGCCATTTCTTTTGTAAAACAGGAACATTAAAACGAGACAAAATCACAAGTTCTCGTGGTGTTGCATAAGAATTATAAACTATGGCCATCTTACTAGAAACAGCTGGTTATATCTATTTTTCGACAACCAACGTTGGAATATTTCACCTCTTAGTAAAACCTTCTAAGAAGTATTATTCAGAAACTAAAAGAAAAAACAAAAGCGCCTAGAAATTAAAAACTCCCAAAAGTTTCCTTACCCTCACCCCCCCCCCCCCCCCCTCACACACATAAAAAAAAGAGAGAGAGACAAATTTTGTTCTTCCCCCACTTTAAGGATATTCGTAGACTTCCAACAATGTTCATATAACAAAAACCTTAACACATGAATTGAATCCTAAAAATAACAACTTTCCACCATAAAAGGCTAAATTAACTAAAAAGAAGCAAATATGGTGTATTAATTCTATAATTTACATTAGATTCCAAAAATAATTCGTTTCAAAAGAGCTCATATAAGAAGATTCACAAGTTATGATCCTACAGGGATACAAAGATTTTAAAAAAAAAAACAAGAAATATTTTTGATGAATAAGAAAAAATCAATGGATGAATCAACAAAATCTCAATCCAAACTTAGTTAGAATTCGCTATATGAATTCTTACAAAAAATGTCATATGTCACCCGTATTGAGTGCGAGAACTGAAAAAACTAAACATAAATTATCAAAATTCATTAGAATTTTTGAGACCACAGAAAAAATGATAGAGAAAAGAAGTAGATCACCTGAAAAGCTTCGTTCTTGATGATGAAAAGCTTCGATTTCAGAGCATGAAGATCGTCGTCTTCATCAAATCGAAACTTGTTTTTTTTTTTTTTCACTTGGTTGTATCTGTAATTGGACCAATAATATATTGGGCTGACGTTTACATGGGCCGAAATTAGAATGGGTTGCAGAAGGGAGATTTGCACAAATAGACCATTTAATGCCACTGTTTAAATTATATTCATGTCCAAACACAACTTTAATTTTCAAATACCATTTTACTTTTAAAAATATAATTTTTTGGAATTTTACAATTTTTATGTCCAAACGCCCATTAACTCACACTGCTTGAATTTTGAAGCACAATGTTATAGTTTTAAACTATGATGTCAGAATTTTGAAGCACGCTGCCACAATTTTAAAGTATGCAGCCAGCATTTAAAAGCATGCTCCCACAATTTTGAAGTATGCTGCCATCATAGAAAATTCTAGCAGTGTGCTTCAAAATTCAGGCAGCGTACTTTAAAGTACTGGCGCGGAGCTATTTTATCAAAAAGAAAAATAATCAAAATATAAATGATGGTTCTAAAGAGTTCCATCTGGCATAGTTTCCCACGACTGACATTAGTTGAGTGAGGACTCTTTTTATCTCACACATTTGTGGACCCATATCTTACATATTTGGATCCACAAAATTCTGGGACCATAGAGTTGTGAGACAATAAAAGAGGCCCTACTCAACTAGTATCAATTGTGTGAGGCACAAAGTAAAAATTTTCGTTTCGCAATTATATAAGAAGAATCGAACCTAGCTGCCCATGTTTTCGATTGGGTTTGGAATATACAAGGTCTTCTTATACTTTTAGCCCGCGCCAGAAACTATTTATATTTAGTAGTCGAAAAAGTGTGTAAAATTTGTATAAGTTCTAAGTATGATATATATATATATATATATATATATATATATATATATATCAGAGGGTTAACCTAGCTCTGATATCAAAGTCCGAAACTTTTTTGATGTTTTTTTGGACAAAAAGCACGTTTCTAATGCTAAAAAAAAGTTACATAACTAGGTAAAACGCAGTACTATATTGCGTTTTACTTAAAGT